AAGGACCAGAGCCACGACAGAACCGTGCCTCCAAGGCCCATCCTGGAGAGTCATCCCAGAAGATACCATGATCAATGGTATTGAAAGCCGCTGAGATGTCCAAGAGAACCAACAGAGTCATACTCCCCCGTCCAGCTCCCTACGGAGATCATCCACCAAGGCGACCAAAGCCGTCTCGGTACCGTGACCAGGCCTAAAGCCAGACTGTGACTGATCCAGATAATTGATGTCATCCAGGAAACCCTGGAGCTGAGAGGCAACCACCCGCTCCAACACCTTGCCCAAGAAAGGAAGGTTGGAGATTGGACTGTAGTTGTTCAAGACCGTGGAGTCAAGGGTATTTTTGAATGATGCGTGCAGATCCAAGTAAGGTGGCCTTTTGCAGTTGACAGACCGTGATTTTGTCAATGTTTATTGTTTCCAAATTATTATTATTATTATTATTATTATTATTACGAGGGCTCTGCATGTCAAGTTTGATCCAACTCTTTGGTGGAGCTCAGAGTGCTCCTTCACTGCAGGTGAACTATACATCCCAGTACATACAACTCCTATAAACCATGGTGAATTCTTCCTAAACCTCTCTAGTACAGTGTTCTCAACGTGGGGGGGTCGGGACCCCTGGAGGGGTCATGAGGGGGTGTCAGAGGGGTCACCAAAGACCACCAGAAAACACAGTATTTTCTCTTGGTCATGGAGGTTCTGTGTGGGAAGTTTGGCCCAATTCATTGCTTGGTAAGGTTCGAATGCTCTTTGATTGTAGGTGAACTATAAATCCTAGCAACTACAATTCCCAAATGTCAAGGTCTATTTTCCCCAAACTCTACTAGTGTTTACATTTGGGCATACTGAGAATTCGTGCCAAGTTTGGTCCAGATCCATCATTGCTTGAGTCTACAGTTCTCTCTGGATGTAGGTAAACTACAACTCCCCAAACTCAAGGTTCGTGCCCACCAAACCCTTCCAGTACTTTCTGTTGGTCATGGGAATTCTGTGTGCCAAGTTTGATTCAGTTTCATCGTTGGTGGAGTTCAGAATGCTCTTTGATTGTAGGGGAACTATAAATCCCAGCAACTACAACTCCCGCAGGACAAAATCAATACCCTCGCCCAATCTGTTACTATTCATAACAGCAGCAAAATGAGTTATGAAGTAGCAACAAAACTAATTTTATGGTTGGGGGTCACCATAACATGAGGAAGCATATTAAGGGGTCGTGGCATTAGGAGGGTTGAGAACCACTGCTCTAGTATGTTCAATTGCTGATCAATTTCTCTGTTTTCTGTGTGCCGTAGAAAAAGAGTAGGAAAGGGTTAAGGGAGAGGCAGTGGGTGGGGTCATGCAAATTCCACACCAATGAAGAGAGTAAAAAACACTGTGGTGTCTGTGGTGGAGGAATCCCATAAAATCTAGGATGAAATTGTCCTCGTATGAAAGCCTTCTCTTGGGTGGTGGGCAGTATGGTGCTTATGGAAGACGTTGGTAGAGGTCTTGTACATGTTCATGGTGCTCACTATAACCTGCAATGTCATTGGAGGGAGGAACTTTGGTGTCTCCTGATTAGATAGACAACAAGTTAAACATGAGCCAACGATGTGATGTGGCGGCAAAAAAAGCCAATGGGATTTTGGCCTGCATCAATAGGAGCATAGTGTCTAGATCTAGGGAAGTCATGCTCCCCATGCTCTGTTCCGCTTTGGTTAGACCACACCTGGAATATTGTGTCCAATTCTGGGCACCACAATTCAAGAGAGATCTTGACAAGCTGGAATGTGTCCAGAGGAGGGCAACTAAAATAATCAAAGGTCTGGAGAACAAGCCCTATGAGGAGCGGCTTAAGGAGCTGGGCATGTTTAGCCTGAAGAAGAGAAGGCTGAGAGGAGACATCATAGCCACGTATAAATATGTGAGAGGAAGCCTATAACGAAATTAAATGACTATTCACAGGGAGGGAAGGCTTTCTATCCCACCCGCTGCCACCGTTATAACAAAGATAAGGAAGGGACCCGTTCTATGGTAATAAGAACGCTGGACACCACTGTAAGGAAGATACTGGCTACCAATGAGATAATGATATTAACGACCGATGCTTTTGGTAGTTTTCGCAGCCACCACCTCAGTTTTGTTGTCTGAGGAAACAAAGGTGTGAATGTGTTTCAGGTACTAGGCGCTCAGGCTTCTGGTTCTTCTATAATGGATGCATTACTCGCTGACTGGACTGAATGGAGGTTTCTAGGCTAGCTTAGTTACGATGGGCTCGATAGACTGAGGCAGACACCAGTTGAAAGTGACGTAGAAACAGGTTTATTAAACTTGATGAATATGTCAACTCTTAATATGAGTGGTACACACAAGCGTAATGCGGTTACTGAGGCTTAGCCGGTTAGACAGGTGGTCTTTTCTAAGAATATAGCTTTTGTTTCCTGTGAGTCCCTTGCTTCACACTGTTCACTTATCTGACACAGTGTGTCCCTGAGATCAGTCCCCTGACTGGCTCACAGAGCAAACAGGCTTTCCTCACTGACCCTCCTATGTACAGTGATCTAGGAACCTTTGCCCTTCCTTTGCTCTAACCACAAGGCTCACTTCAAAAGCTTTCCTTCCCTGTCTAAATCCCACTCAGCTCCCTCTTCTTAAAATCCTCCTACCCTCTGTGCTGTTAAAAACCCTTCTCCCTCACTTGTCAAAAGTGACAGCCTTTTCCCCTCTCACAACCAACTCCTCCCCTTATGCTGTAACCAATCGGGAGTTGGCTGACTCCTCCCCCTGCCTCCTTGCCTGTCCCAAGATGTCAGCTTACTGATTCTAAGGCTTCGGCCTAGTCGGTAAAGGTTAGATTTACTACAAATCCACAGGAAGGAGGGAGCAAGCTTGTTTTCTGCTTCCCTGGAGACTAGGACGCAATGGAACAATGTCTTCAAACTACAAGAGAGGAGATTCCATCTGAATACGAGGAAGAACTTCCTGACTGTGAGAGCCGTTCAGCAGTGGAACTCTCTGCCTCGGAGTGTGGTGGAGTCTCCTTCTTCGGGAGCTTTTAAACAGAGGCTGGATGGCCATCTGTCAGGGGTGATTTGAATGCAATATTCCTCCTTCTTGGCAGAAAGGGGTTGGACTGGATGGCCCAGGAGGTCTCTTCCAACTCTTGGATTCTATGATTCTAGTGGGAACTAGAGCTGTTTGTGGAGGTAGAAGCTTGTATGTGTAAGTGGATACCCCAGCCACACAAACACACACACATACATATTTTCACTTTTATTATGTGTATAGATTTCAGAATAACAGGAATTATCAGCTGCATCCAAGGAGCATCCACAGAAAGGTGAACTAGAAGTACAGCAAGGTCATTGTGGTGTGATGTATTGTTTTCCACTGTGAAGTACACCATGATCTCCAGTGCAGCCATCATGTGGAAGTACACCCATAAATATCAGCTTCTTTTCCATAATTACCTTAATTATATTCACAGTAAAAAAGGAGGCAACCTTAGACCCAATTACCAAGAAACCACTGACTGAGTCCAATAACTCACTTTTATCCCTTTGATGGTTAATGGTACAGTAGAAAAATACGAGGGTTGAATGAAAAGTAATGCCTCCACCTTTGTTACTTGGGTCTGGATGGGAACATTTTGATAAATCAAACGCAGAAATAATCCTTAGAACAGTGTTTCTCAACCTGGGGGTCGGGACCCCTGAGGGGGTCGCGAAGGGGTGTCAGAGGGGTCGCCAAAGACCACCAGAAAACACAGTATTTTCTGTTGGTCATGGGGGTTCTGTGTGGGAAGTTTGGCCCAATTTTATCATTGGTGGGGTTCAGAACGCTCCTTTATTGTAGGTGAACTATAAATCCCAGTACTGACAACTCCCAAATGTCAACGTCTATTTTCCTCAAGCCCCATCAGTGTTCACATTTGGATATATTGAATATCCATGCCAACTTTGGTCCAGATCCATCATTGTTTGAGCCCACAGTGCTTTCTGGATGTAGGCGAACTACAACTCCCAAACTCAAGGTCAATGCCCACCAAACCCTTCCAGTATTTTCTGTTGATCATGGGAGTTCTCTGTGCCAACTTTGGTTCAATTCCATTGTTGGTGGGGTTCAGAATGCTCTTTGTTTACATGTTAACTATAAATCCCAGCAACTACAACTCCCAAATGACAAAATCAATCCCCCCGCCAACCCCACCAGTATTCAAATTAGGGCATACCGGGTATTTGTGCCAAATTTGCTCCAGTGAATGAAAATACATCCTGCAGATCATTATTTACATGGCGATTCATAATGTTAGGGTTATGGTTGGGGGTCACCACAACATGAGGAACTGTATTAAGGGGTCGGCATTAGGAAGGTTGAGAACCACTGGCTTAGAGTATCCGAGAGCCAAGCAAAGCAATAATGTGACCCACACATAATCACCAGACAATTGGATACATTTCTGCCAACGATGAACAAGTTTTCTGAAGCCGTCACAGAAGAAGTCGACACTCTGTTTCTGCAACCAGCATCTCACAGTTCTCTCATCCTGGGTACCCATCATGCACAGATCTTCCGATAGCCAAGGAAAGCAGTAATGTTACTCACACATAATCACCAGACAATTGGATACATTTCTGCCAACGATGAACAAGTTTTCTGAAGCCGTCACGGAAGAAGTCGACACTCTGTTTCCGCAACCAGCATCTCACAGTTCTCTCATCCTGGGTACTCATCGTGCACAGATCTCCCGATAGCCAAGGAAACCACACGTTCTTGTAAAATGCTGATTATGCTTGAGATTTCTCTCTGAGTGATACGACAATAGTCCTGAATCAATCTGTCCACCTTTTGCTTGTGAAACTCGGTGGTTGCTGTCACAGGACGTCCAACTCTTTGTTTGCCATGCAAATCAGATGTTCCCACTTCAACATCTTTAAACTTTCTCGCCCAATGATACACAGTACTCACATCAACACAATCACCATAAACAGCTTGCATTCTCTGATGGATTTCCTTTGGGGTGACACCTTCTGCTGTCAAGAAGTCAATGACTGAACATTACTTAAGTTGCATTGACCGACCATCTGTGCAGGGTTCCATACTTTGCACTTTAACAACACAACCGTTCAATGCTAAGGCTTCCCGTCAAAATGGAACTGTAGAGGAGAGTCTACAGAACAAGCCAGTAACTGCCACATACGTTGCTTAAGTCACATTGACTGACCGTCTGTGCAGAGTACCTACTTTGTACTTTAACACCACAACCGTTCAATGCTAAGGCTTCCCACCAAAATCGAACTGTAGAGGAGAGTCTACAGAACAAGCCAGTACCTGCTACATACCAGTTGTTCTGGTACAGCTGCACCAGGAGCTCCAATTTTGTTTGCTTTGCATTGAATGTTTGTTTGCAGCCCAAGGCTTGGGATTTTGCAGAAGGGTGACTTCCTGTTAAAGTTTGCTGCTATAGGGCAGGCCACCTGTCCATCATCATTAGGTCCCTTAGTTCCGCCCCCTTTTTGGGTTTAGAGAAAGGAAGGGAACTATTTTTCATTTAGTCTCAGCCAGGTTAGCCTTTGTATAGGATGTGTGTAACTTCCCCTGTACAAAGGCTTCAAGCTTTAAGAATTTCCAGGGTTACAGAAATTCCAACAGAAACAGAAGGGAAAGAAATCCAGAGGAGAACAGCTTTAAGAGTCTCCTAAGAACTCCAGGGAAGCATTCCCTCAGCTTTGGGAATTTCCAGGAAACAGCCCTAAAGACTAAAGAACTCCAGCTAGAGAATATCCACTGCCTTGCTGGTAGGTCCACTTGGCGTCTGAGAAGCAGTTAGGCCCGGTAGCGGAGCCCAGACCAGTGAGGGTTGGATTTCAGTCAGCCTGGGAGAAGTTAAAAAGGGGTTTTTTCCTTTAAAGAAGTTGTTACTGAAGATAGTTGCCTGTCCTTCGTGCGCAAGTTTGGGAATTCACCAGTTCCCTAGAAGCTTGGAATTATTTGCTTTACTTTGCTAAAGATAAGAGAAGTTCCTGTTTGATTTCATTAATTAAAGACTTTGTTGTACTTCTCAAACCATCTGAAGATTCTTTTGTAGTGGAAACCTCTGAGAACTTCTCCTTAGGCCCCTGGCTTCCCGCTGGGCAAAGGTTACACATCCTATTTTTAAAGCCAACCAATTACAGGCCCAGCGGTGACAGAACACCAGTACTGCCATCAGTTGAGGAGTTACGAAGGTGGAGGCATTACTTTTCATTCAACCCTCATAGTAATAGGACATAGTGCCTTTAACTCACAGTACATGCAGTTTAAATACAGAAGGAGCATAAGAAGACATTACATCTTTTTCTAATTAGCATGTCGATATCAATTAATACAATTTTAACAGAATTATTGTTTTTCTTAATATAGCACTGAAGGAACAAACGGATGAGGTATATAACACTGGAAGAGGCGAGGAGGTGGAGAGAAGACATCAGTTGTCTTCTCCGATCCATTTCCCTTTGCTTGCTTACTTGGTGTGGTGTGGCCAATAGATTGGCTGCTTCTTCTGCTGATCTTCAATAGGAGGTGGGCATTTGGGGGCAGATGGGGCTGGAGTTGGCTCCTTGCCGGGACATGGAGTTGGAATGGTGGTTTTGGGAGGTTGCTTGCATGGGGGCTTGCCAGGGCCAGGAACTGGCTCTGGTTGTGAACAGCATGGAGACTCCTTGGATGGTGGCTTCTGTTGAGGACATGGAGTTGGCGCAATGTGTGCTGGTGGCACCTTACATGGCTGCTTCTCCTGAGCGCAAGGAGCTGGCTCTGAGGTTGAACAACATGAAGACTCCTTGGGTGGCTGTTTCTCTTGAGAACATGGAGTTGGCGCAATGTGTGCTGGTGGCGCCTTACATGGCTGCTTCTCCTGAGCACAAGGAGCAGGCTCCGGTTGTGGACAGCATGGAGACTCCTTGGATGGTTGTTTCTTTTGAGAACATGGAGTTGGCGCAATGTGTGCTGGTGGTTCCTTACAATGTGGCTTCTCTTGAGGATGCGGAATTGCTTTTGGGCAGCATGGTGTTGGGGCAATCTCTTTGGGTGGTTCTTTGCATGGAGGCTTCTTTTCAGGTACTGGATCTGGACATGGAGTTGGAATGGTCACTATTGGTGTCTCTTTGCATGGCTTCTTCTGCTGAGGACAAGGAACTGGCTCTGCTTGTGGACAGCATGGAGATTCCTTGGATGGTGGTTGCTGTTGAGGACATGGAGTTGGCGCAACCTCTGCTGGTGTCTCCTTGCATGGTTGCTTCTCCTGAGCACAAGGAACTGGCTCTGGTTTTGGGCAGCATGGAGACTCCTTGGAAGGTGATTTCTGTTGAGGACATGGAGTTGGCTCATTGTGTACTGGTGGCACCTTACATGGCTGCTTCTCCTGAGCGCATGGAGCTGGCTCTGAGGTTGGACAACATGGTGACTCCTTGGGTGGTGGTTTCTGTTGAGGACATGGAGTTGGCGCAATGTGTACTGGTGATTCCTTGCATGGTTGCTTCTCCTGAGCAGAAGGAATTGGCTTGGACTGTGGACAGCATGGAGATTCCTTGGAAGGTGATTTCTGTTGAGGACATGGAGTTGGCACATTGTGTACTGGTGGCACCTTACATGGCTGCTTTTCTTGAGCACAAGGAGCTGGCTCTGGGGTTGGACAACATGGAGACTCCTTGGATGGTTGTTTCTCTTGAGGGCATGGAACTGGCACAACCTCTGCTGGTGTCTCCTTGCATGGTTGCTTCTCCTGTGCACAAGGAGCTGGCTCCGGTGGTGGACAGCATGGAGACTCCTTGGTTGGTGGTTTCTGTTGAGGACATGGAGTTGGCACAACCTCTACTGGTGTCTCCTTGCATGGCTGCTTCTGTTGAGGGCTAGGGACTGGCTCTGGCTGTGGACAGCATGGAGACTCCTTGGATGGTGAATTCTGTTGAGGACATGGAGTTGGCACGTGTGCTGGTGCTTCCTTGCATGGCTGCTTCTCCTGAGGAGATGGAGTAGCCTTAGGGCAGCATGGAATTGGGACAATCTCTGTTGGTGGTTCCTTGCATGGAGACTTCTTTTCAGGAGCTGATACTGGATCTGGACATGGAGTTGGAATGGTCACTATTGATGGATGCTTGCCTGGTTCTGATTGTGGACAGCATGGGCTTGGGTCAGCCACTACTGGAGACTCTTTGCAGGGTGGCTTGGGCTCAGGACTTGGAGTTTTCTGAGGCCACATTGCTGGAGGAAAAGAGATGCTCTGCTTGCATTGGTGGACCTCTGGAGGAGGTGCATCCACTTGAGGTGGGCATGGTGTTGGCTCTGGAGCTTTCTTGCACAATGCAGGTGGCAAGCTATGTTTTTGCTTGCTCTGGAACTCGTTGTGTGAAGCCATTTTCCTTCTCTTTTAAAATTATGTTCCAAAGAGCTAGGAAAAAGGGATTTAATACAGAGTTGATCAACATTATAAGAAATGTACACACAGCCAAAGAACTTGCATTCTTCTAACCCAGTGGTTCCCAACCTTTTTTTGACCAGGAACCACTTTGACCAGGACCACTTTGACTAGAGTTATGAATTTGTTTTTGGTCAACTTTAGATTTGGTTTGGTTATTTGGGGTCCTGATTTAGAAAATTGCATTGGATAGACCACATCAGCTCTAGTTTCTGATAAGCCATCTGCTTGTCCACAAATAACAATATTTAATAATCTAGAGCTGATGTGGTCTATCCAATGGTAGTAGTAATCTTTTGTGGGTAGTCAGCCTCTCTCCTCCCGACATCCCTGCTGCCTCGGTAGTTATTCATTTATTTCGGACACTTCTACCCCGCCCTTCTCAACCCCCAAGGGGGGACTCAGGGCGGCTTACAGGGTTCCCTCAGGGTTCAATTCTGTCCCCAATGTTGTTTAACATCTACATGAAGCCGCTGGGGGAGATCATTCGGAGTTTCGGACTGAAATGTTATCTCTACGATGATGTTCAGATCTGTCACTCCTTTCCACCTGTCACCAAGGAGGCTGTCCAGACCTTGAACCGGTGTTTAGCTGCTGTATCGGACTGGATGAGAGCTAACAAATTGAAATTGAATCCAGACAAGAAAGAGGTCCTACTGGTCAGTCGTAAGGCCGAACAGGGTATAGGGTTACAGCCTGTGTTAGACGGGGTTACACTCCCCCTGAAGACGCAGGTTCGCAGCTTGGGAGTGATCCTGGACTCATCGCTGAGCCTGGAACCCCAGGTCTCAGCGGTGGCCGGGAGAGCTTTCGCACAATTAAAACTTGTGCACCAGCTGCGCCCGTACCTTGGGAAGTCTGTCTTGCAGTGGTCCATGCTCTTGTTACATCCAGAATAGACTACTGCAACGCACTCTACGCGGGGTTGCCCTTGAAGACTGTTCGGAAACTTCAACTGGTCCACCGAGCGGCAGCCAGACTGCTCACCGGAGCGACATACAGGGAACACACCACCCCCCTGCTGTGTCAGCTCCACTGGCTGCCAGTTCAGTTCCGAGCACAATTCAAGGTGCTGGTTTTGACCTACAAAACCCTTTACGGTTCCGGTCCAGCGTATCTGTCCGAACGTATCTCCCTCTACGTCCCACCCCGGAATTTGAGATCATCTGGGGAGGCCCTGCTCTCGACCCCACCACTATCACAAGTGAGGCTGGTGGGGACGAGGAGCAGGGCCTTCTCAGTGGTGGCCCCGCACCTGTGGAACTCACTCCCGGCGGAAATCAGGACATCAACATCCCTCCTTGCCTTCAGGAGAAAGGTAAAGACGTGGCTATGGGACCAGGCCTTTGGGCGTCCTGACAATTAGATATGGAATCCAGATGGATAGGACTGACAATGTGCGGAAAGTAGAACCTAAACTATGAGTCTGTTAAACGCTGACCAGCAATGAGGTTTGTATTGCTTTTATTGGTTTAATTGTTTTAATTGCTTTTACGGGTTTTTTGGATGTTTTGCCGATAATAATGATTGCTTATGCTAATTGTTATCATTGCTATAATTGCTATTGTTACTGATGTTATGTCTTTGTTGTCATGTAATGCGGGCATCGAATTGTGCCTTGTTTGTGTAAGCCGCCCTGAGTCCCCCCCGGGGTGAGAAGGGCGGGGTATAAGTGACCGTAATAAATAATAAATAAATTACAACCGGCACAATTCGATGCCAACAATCCAACAGATAAATTACATAACAGCAATAACCACAGTAATTAAAACAATCAATTAAAACAATAAGAATTAAAAGCCAATCTAGTGTCCAACATTCACCGAGTTCTAAAATCCGTAAGTCCATTCAGCATTACCATAGTCCTTTCCAAGTTCTGGTCATCATTACCATGTCAGTCTGCCAGATTACCCAAAGGCCTGGTCCCATATCCATGTTTTCAGCTTCCTTCTGAAGTTGAGAAGGGATGTTGATGACCTAATTTCCCCGGGGAGTGAATTCCACAGGCGAGGGGCCACCACTGAGAAGGCCCTGTCCCTCGTCCCTACCATCCTCACTTGTGATAGAGGCGGGGCCGAGAGCAGTGCCTCCCCCGAAGATCTTAAACTCTGAGGTGGGACGTAGAAGGAGATACGTTCGGACAGGTACGCTGGGCTGGAGCCGTATAGGATTTTATAGGTCAAAACCAGCCGGTCAAAACAAGAGAGTTTTGCGAGATCAGTTACTCTCGTTGCTGCATGGTTTAAAGGCAACGGTATAGTTATGGTGAGGCTGCAGACCATATTTTTGTTATTGTGGTGGACCACTGGTGGTCTATGGACCACAGGTTGGGAACCACATCTCCACATTGCGCCAGTTATGACCTTACCTCGTGAAGGCGGATCTGGCCAGGGTGGTCCATGCCTCAATCACCTCCAGATTGGATTACTGTAATGCACTCTATGTGGGGCTGCCCTTGAAAACGACCCGGAAATGTCAATTGGTCCAACGGGCGGTGGCCAGGTTGTTAACCGGTGAGGTCAACCCTCCTGTTTAAGGAGCTCCACTGTCTGCCTTTCATTTTCCGGTCCCAATTCAAGGTGCAGGTGCTTACCTACAAAGCCCTAAATGGTTTGGGACCCGCCTACTTGCGTGACCGCATCTCGCATACGAACCCACACGATCTCTTCGTTCATCTGGAGAGTCCCTACTTACGATCCCACCTGCATCGCAAGTGCGATTGGTGGGGACGAGGGATAGGGCTTTCTCGGTGGTGGCCCCTCGACTCTGGAACTCTCTCCCTAAGGATATCAGGCAAGCCCCATTGCTGGAATTTTTTAGGAGGAACTTGAATTGAACAGGGTCCACTTTGACCAACATTAGTACCAAAAGAGTTATGAGTCAGGTTTTGGTCAACTTTAGATTTGGTTTGGTTATTTCGGGTGCTGATTTAGAAAATTGCATTGGATAGACCACATCAGCTCTAGTTTCTGATACACCATCTACTTGTCCACAGAAAACCATATTTAATAATCTAGAGCTGATGTGGTCTATCCAATGGTAGTAGTACTCTTTTGTGGGTAGTCAACCTCTCCCTTCCTGACATCCCCATTGCCTTGGCACCATAAGAGAGTTTCACAAGACCAGTCACTTTCGTTGCCATGTGGTTTCGAGGCGACTGTATAGTAATGGTAAGGCTGCGGACAATATTTTCGTTATTGCGGACCACTGGTGGTCTATGGAACACAGGTTGGGAACCACATCTCCACATTGAAAATTAATTTATCCAACTTTTTTTTAAATCCAAAGAATGTTTTATATGCCTTATGCAATTGATAAGGAAATGATTAACGCATATTTTGAATCCACCAGCCAATCAATAAACACATACCATTTTTTCCCATGGACGCTTTGAAGGAATGCTTTGATTTTGAAATATGCATATGAGAAAAATTAAGCAGATGAAATCTTCCACTCCCTTGTGGGAGTTTAAAAATGACTTATTGGGCAGTTTTTTTTAATTGGCTGTTTTATATGCCCGGCGTTTTAGTGATTGGAAGGGGAACGATTGATAAATATTTAAAACCAATTGATCAACAAATACAATATTTGTTTGCATTTTTTATAAGAAGCCCAGCTCAATCTATTTTTCCTAACAGAAGCTTTGAAGCATACTTTGAATATGGAAATATGCAGATCAGAAATTCTCCATTTGTTTGCATTGCGAAAAAAAATTCCATAATGGAGAATGCCTTCCTGTTGAATAGCTTTTAAGTTCAGGAACACATCAGATGAAAAAAAAATGAGTGGCAACCGCGGTATATATCAGTGGAAAGACAAATGAATGAATAAGCGTTGACAACCAGAATGAGAGGAATGAAGCATTTAAATATCTGAGAATATCTGGTCACCTCTAGATTGGACTACTGCAATGCGCTCTACGTAGGGCTGCCCTTGAAAACGGCTCGGAAATTCCAACTGGTCCAACGGGCAGCGGCCAGGATGTTAACTGGTGCTCTCTACAGAGAGAGGTCAACCCTCCTGTTCAAGGAGCTCCACTGGCTGCCGTGTATTCTCCGAGCCCAATTCAAGGTGCAGGTGCTTACCTACAAAGCCCTGAACGGTTTGGGACCACCCTACCTGCGTGTCCGCATCTCCGTCTACGAACCCACACGTTCACTTTGGTCATCTGGAGAGGCCCTGCTCGTGATCCCGCCCGCGTCGCAAGCGCGCTTGGTGGGGACTCGAGACAGGGCCTTTTCTGTGGTGGCCCCCTGACTCTGGAACGCCCTCCCAAAAGATCTTAGACAGGCCCCTTCATTGGCAGTCTTCAGAAAGAACTTGAAGACCTGGTTGTTCCGATGTGCCTTTTCAGACTAGGATAGGAACCCCCAATACCAAATCCTAGAAGCACTTTAGTAGAACTAAGATCACTGCACACCGCACACTGCACCTATGTTATAATCCTACATACCTCCTGCCACATCAGTATTTTTAATCTTGTACCCACTACCCTGGCCTGGCCCAGTTTTATAGTGTCTTGATGTCTCGATGTATTGTTATTGCTGTTGTTTATTCTGCTTAACTGTTTTTAATTTGCTCTAGGTATTGTATTGTTGTGTTGTGTTTTGAGGCCTTGGCCTATGTAAGCCGCATCGAGTCCTTCGGGAAATGCTAGCGGGGTACAAATAAAGTTTAATAATAATAATAATAATAATAATAATAATAATAATAATAATATTTTGTGTGTGCATCTGCACTATAGAAATAATACAGTTTGGTATCACTTCAGCTGCCATGGCTCAAAGAGATGAGATCCTGGAAGTTGTAATTTGACAAAACCTTCACTGCTCAAGAGTGACGGTGCTTCACCAAACGCCAAGTCCCATGATTCCATAGCGTTTGAGCCATGGCACATAAAGTGGTATCAAATCACATTCGTTCTACAGCAGTGGTTCTCAACCTGTTGGCCTCCAACATGACCTATAAAGCCCTAAACCAGTGGTTCTCAATCTATGGGTCCCCAGGTGTTTTGGCCTACAACTCCCAGAAATCCCAGCCAAAATATCTGGGAGTTGAAGGCCAAAACATCTGGGCACCCCAGGCTGAGAACCACTGCTGTACAGTAGACATGGTTAGGTTTGGTTGGAATCTTCGTAATTCAGAATAAATTCGGAAAGATTTGCTTTTTGAAGCGATTTTGAAGTTTTTAAGGAAACCGGAAGTCCCTTTGCCCTTCCGAAGCTTTTTCCGCCATTTCTTTTCCGAAGACGCTTCCTTTTTTGGGAGGAGAGCAATGTCCAGTCTCGATAAAATGGTAAAGAGTAGAGACATCAGACTGGCAACCAAGATCCATTGCCTTGTCAAAGCCATGGTCTTCCCTGTAGTCACCTACGGATGTGAGAGCTGGACCTTAGGGAAGGCTGAGCGAAGGAAGATAGATGCTTTTGAGCTGTGGTGTTGGAGGAAAGTTCTGAGAGTGCCTTGGACTGCGAGAAGATCCAACCAGTCCATCCTCCAGGAAATAAAGCCCGACTGCTCACTGGGAGGGAAGGAGACTAGAGACAAAGTTGAAGTCCTTTGGCCACATCATGAGGAGACAGCAAAGCCTAGAGAAGGGAATGATGCTGGGGAAAGTGGAAGGCAAAAGGAAGAGGGGCCGACCAAGGGCAAGATGGATGGATGGCATCCTTGAAGTGACTGGACTGACCTTGAAGGAGCTGGGGGTGGTGACGGCCGACAGGGAGCTCTGGCGTGGGCTGGTCCATGAGGTCACAAAGAGTCGGAGACGACTGAACGAATGAACAACAACAAAGTGAGTCGGAAATGATTCAGTGTTTCCCAATTTCTGGTCCCTGGCCTTGGCTCAAGCGGATGAATTTCCTCTTTCTCTCCTCTCCTCTCGCTTCTGCCTCTGGCAAGCATTTTAAAACAGAGTGGTGAATTTCCTCTCTCTCTCTCCTCTGAGTGCTTCACCGGCCCCTGGGCATGCTCTCTCAGCCCTCTTTCCTCCGCACGCTTGCCAATGCTGGGGTGCCTCTCTCTACCAGCATTGGGAATTGCGTGTGGGAAGGGGCCCTGGAAGCGTGCATCCAGGGGCTGTGCTCCACGGGCGAGTGTGCCCGCCGCTGCTTCCTGCCTCCTTCCTCATGCTTCTTCCATCTTTCCTGGGCCCAGCTGGGGCCCAACGGAGTGTCTTGCCTATGTCACGCCACTCCTGAAGGTCGCCTTTGGCCTCCTTCCTAACAATGGCCTGCACTGGGCACAGAGATTGCAGCGGACACAACGGACACAGTGATCTGCCTTCCTTCCTTCCTGCCTAAACTTCTGGGCCAGGAAGTGGAAATTATTATTATTATTATTATTATTATTATTATTATTATTATTATTATGGCTGCGCGGCCATCTGTCAGGGGTGCTTTGATTGTGCTTTCCCTGCAGGAAGGCAGGAAGGGGTTTATTATTATTATTATTATTATTATTATTATTATTATTATTATTGTCATGGTTGGTCCTGAAAAGGTCAGTTGGTTGTTTTGCTTGCTTGCTTGCATGCTGGTCGCTTCTGTGGTGAGAGAATCAGCCGTCTACGAAGACGTTGCCCAGGAGACGCTCGGATGTCTTGCGATCCTGCGAGGAGGCTTCTCTCAAGTAGCAGCCAATAGTGAAAGGACCAAGGCAGAGACATCTCCAGCTCATCCTCTGTTTGGGTATCAGCCAGCACGTCAACAACTTAAATCTAGAAATAGTTTTCTAAGATCTACAGAGAACACCTCAGCAAGCGAGAGTCCAAAAGTGGCAGGCTCAAACCCAGCACCTCAACCAATGGCTGATACCAAATGAGAGACTCCCCCCTGGGCACACAGAGGACTGGGTGACTTGGAAGGCGCTGAACAGACTGTGCTCTGGCACCACGAGATGCAGAGCCAACCTTCAGAAATGGGGCTACAAAGTGGAATCCCTGATATGCGAATGTGGAGAGGAACAAACCACTGACCACCTGCTGCAATGCACCCCGAGCCCTGCCACATGCACAATGGAGGACCTTCTTGCGGCAACACCAGAGGCACTCCAAGTGGCCAGATACTGGTCAAAGGACATTTAACCAACTACCAAACTCACAAATGCTGTATTGTATCCGTTTGTTTGCTTTGTTCTGTTAGAAATGTAATATAAATGACTGGTTGATCTGACACGACAAATAAAATATTACTACTACTACTACTACTACTACTACTACTACTATTATTATTATTGAGGCTGGGTAGAGGAATGGTTAGATAAAATTTGGGACGTGAAAGATATGGACAAATTAACTTACTACTTGAGAGATTACACTGGAACACCCATAAGAAGAACAGATTGGAAACAACTCGAAGACTTTATGAAGAATCATAGAGAACATGGACATACCAACTCCATATTGGAATCTTAATAGTAATAAATAGGAGAAAAGAAAATCAGATTTATTCTGACGAAGTGATTTGAGAGAAAAACTATCAGGAAGATGAGCCGCAGGAAGAACAAGGATAGAAGTAAATAGAAGATGAAGACTACAACGTCGAGAAGAAGATTGGGAAGCTGACTCACCCCCCCTTCCTATTTTACCTTTTCTTCCTCTAACCCTAGATCCTGATTTTAACCCCCCCTCTTCCCTATACCGCCCCGCCCCATTCCCGTTCCCATATCTACTAGGCTTGGGTAACCACGGAAAAATTTGGTTCTAAACTCGTTTTGTTTTTAGGGGGCCCTTGCGTTTCGTTTTTTTTAATAATTCCGAAATTTTCCTTTTAAAAATTTCGAAATATACAAAATTTCGTAAAATTACGAATCGATTCGTTAATGGCGGACGCGATTGCGCAATATGCTAAAAAAAAACCCTCCAAATGGGACAGGGGGAACTTCTGAAGCTTCCCTCTCCCTCTGTTGTTGACTGTTGGTGTGATAAAACAAACAACAACTATAAAACTTGCACCAGACATGCGAAAATAATTAAATAATTACGAAATAATTACGAAATAATTACAAAATAATTACGAAATAATTACGAAATAAATTGAAAAAAATGTTTCGAATCTAATTTACTCCTCACACTATTCCTGCATGGCTCAATATTGGATCGTAAGCTAATTTAAATACGAATTAATAACGAATTACGAAATTAACGAACGAAACCGCCCAAGCCTAATATCTACCCCTTATATCTTCCCAACCCCTCATTCCAAATTCCTTCCCCTCCCCTCTTTTTTATGTAAATATTGAAAAAACTCAATAAAAATTATTTAAAAAATTATTATTGAGGTTGGGTGACCATCTGGAGTCTGGACAAGCGTTTTAAAATGGAGTGGTGAATTTCTGGAGTAAAACAACTACTTTCAACGTAAAAACCACCCAATGAAACAGAAAATAACACTTTCAAACCATTATGTGGAATTCGGAAGTCTCAGAAGTTTCAAAAAGGTTTGAACATTTTTTGATGAAAATCGGAATTGATTTCCGAATCGAATCACCAACGAGTTTTGAACCATTTTTTTAATCAAACAAGCCTATTCTACAGTGAAGATGTACCCTTTACTTTTGGTTATTCAAAGGTTCCACAGCGCTAATTTCTCCCATTCTATCTCAGAAGAAGTAAGTGAATTGTATTGAGCTCCTCACAATGAAGGGAGGAGACCACCTTGAGGTCAATGGAGTTGAATTGGAGATGGATGTTAATTCAAAAGCTCTCCATGGTGCAAAACATTCCCCAAATAGATTCAGCACCATGGAGAGCTCACGTTGCATCCCCAAGCGGATTGAAGGCTATGTAGAGATGGAAGTCCCCAACCTCTACTGGTTCTTCTCACCCATCTCCTTCTGGAAGTGGAATAATCCAGCCAATCAATAATCAATACAAAAGACCATTGATTCTCTTTTGATAGATCAATGGAAATGGATTTATTCAGAGATACTTAACCACAACTACTATGAGCCATGACTTAACCACAACTACTAGCCATGACTTTGCCCACTATGGTCCCTGACAAACCACGAGATGTTTCCTCAAGCCAGTCAAAAAAGACTTACCCAATTGGTTGTGATGAAGGAATTCTGTGGCTCCGGGAATGGCAAAAGCCTTTTATACAGTCCTCCAATCCCTCCCACAGATAGTGTGTGTAAATGCAGATGACACTGATATTTCATAACCGATATGCATCACGTCTGTCTTCCTTGCCTCTGGAAGGAAACTCCCTTCTTGGGCTCCATCCTAATGATGGCTGCAGGCGATTTATGCCAACCCTTTCCTTCGTTAACATACCCGGAGAGATTCTACAAACAGGAGCCCTGAAAACTATTCCGGGTGATTTTTCTTCCAATTTTCTTCCAATAGCTAGAAGATCAACGGGAATTGGGTTATCATCTGGTTCAATATGTTAAAGGTTCAAAATATTGGGGGAAATGGAAGAATTGGTGTTATTATTTGAGTTCCCCAAAGTGTGAGACGGTGTGATTAACTCTCTCCTTGCTCCAGGATAGCAAAAAATGCGACGTAGCTCAGAGATAAATCTCCAAACATGCATGATTTGCCAGGAATCTGTTTAGGAACAGTTATAATGTGCCATCTATCTACTAAGGATGAACTTCTTGGTTTCTTTCATCCTTGTATGTGAGAACAGATAATTCCAACGGTTTTCGCTGGTCTCCATCACGGATCACCTTCAATGCCAGCTTGACCAGGGCGGGTCAGTGCTGCTTGTGTTATTGGATCTCACAGCAGCATTTGACACAGTCGACCACCATCTTTTGACCCACCGCCTTGTTGTTGCTGGAATCAGGGGGAGAGCTTTAAACTGGCTGTCCTCCTTTCTTCACAACCGTGGATAGCAAGTGGAGAGGGGAGGCCTGGTCTCTGAGAGGTCCCCCCCCTCTCTCTTGTGGGGTTCCTCAGGGGCCATTCTCTCCCCTCTCTTGTTTAACATCTCTATGCGACCACTTGCTCAGCTGGTTCGAGGTTTTGGGCTTGAGTGTTATCAGTATGCCGATGACACTCAGCTGGTGCTGAAGATGGAAGACCGACCGGACTCTGTACCCGATGGTTTCCATCAGTGCCTCATTGAGGTCGTGACTGGATGGCTGCATGCCAGCAGGTTGAGGGTGAATCCAGCAAAGACGGAGATCCTATGGCTGGGTCAACCGGGCAGTGGGGACATCCAGCTGCCTACCCTGGATGGCGAGGCGCTACGCCCGTCGTCGTTGGTCAAGAGTCTGGGAGTCCTTTTGGACCCTCTGCTGAGGATGGAGGCCCAGGTCTCCACCGTGAGCAGAACCGCCTTCTTTCCCCTGTGGCAGGCTCGACGGCTGGGCCCCTCCCTGTCCAGGGACAACCTAGCTACGGTGATCCAGGCTACGGTCATCTCAAGACTGGACTACTGTAACGCCCTCTACATTGGCCTTCCTCTGTCGGTGATCCGGAAGCGCAAAGTTGGTACAAAATGCAGCTGCTCGGCTTCTTGCGGGAATTCCGATGAGATGCCACATAACCCCAATCTTACTACAGCTGCATTGGTTACCAATTGAGCCCCGGATCACTTTCAAAGGGATGGTACTCACCTTGAAGGCCTTGCATGGTCTGGGGCCGATGTACCTGAGGGACCGCCTCACCCCCTCCCAACCCCAACGATCCCTCCGTTCTGAGGACCAAGATCTATTGGAAATTCCCAGTGTCAAGACCTTGCGTCTAACAGCAACCAGATGCAGAGCCTTCACAGCAGTGGCACCATCACTCTGGAATACTCTGCCACCTGAAGTCCGTGCCTTGAGAGACTTACCAGCTTTCTGCAGGGCATGTAAGACATACCTGTTTCGACGGGCTTTTGATCTCTGATATTGCTGTTTTTAAATTGTTTTAAATTGTTTTTAAATTGTGTTCGATTTTAGCCTGTTCTTGTAAGCCGCTCCGAGCCTCAGGGGAGTGGCGGCATAGAAATTCGAATAATATATAAAAAAAATTAAAAAAAATTATAAGAATTGGTTTCCTTTCTGATAACTTTCAACCCCATTTTTTGGAATACATACAACATTTTGTGCAGGAAATCCAACATTTTGTGCAGGAAATCCTGAATCTATTTCAATTCCTTGAAGGCTAATATATCCGTAGTCTATGCAGTAGATCCAAGGCATGGCATTTTCTATACTGTTTTCAGCACAGCACAATTGTCACGTCTTGTTTTTTTGGGTGGAAAATGGGGTAGAGTTTGGCAAACTAATTTCTTTTAGGAATGCATAAATATATTTCAAAGCAATTGACTATTTTCTTGGGTTTTTGTAGGTTTTTTTGAGCTATATGGCCATGTTCTAGAGGCATTCTCTCCTGATGTTTTGCCTGCATCTATAGCAAGTATCCTCGGAGGTTGTGAGGTCTGAGGACTATTTTCTTGATAAATTATTTTGTTGTATCTTACAACTGCTGGTATTCTTTACCTTACTAAATCGAAGTCCCTTCCAACTTTCTGATTCTCTACAAACTAAGAGCAGATTGAGAACTTTAGATATATTGGCTATTCAGGTCACTTGAGATGTAGGTTTTGGGTTCCTTGGCATTGTAGCAACTGATTGGTTGGCCATATTTTGATGGTCTTTGGTCAATTTATAGGAACTGTGAACAACTGTTCCTTCAGCTACGATTCACCTTCCACTTACTATAGGTCCTCTAGATGTTTGGTACTTCCACCAGAGGACCAAAGGTTAGGAATAGCTATATTAAGATGACTCCTAATTGTAGAAACACATGTTCAAAGTTCTTATAAGATGACTGAAGACCACAAAAAAAATAAATCAGAAATCCAACTAGTTTGGCTAACTGACAGGAATTCTGGCAGCTGAAGTCCAAAATACCCAAAGGACAAAAGGTTGGGACCATAACTCTGGGTGATGTACTCCAGAGCAGAAGTTCTCAGTTGTTAGTCCTCCAGATGTTTTGGACATCATCTCTTAGAAGTCACAGCTAATATGACCAATCCTCGAGATTTCCGAGAGTTGAATTCCCAAACTTCTGGAGGACCAAAGGTTGAGGACCGTAGCTCTAAACTAATGGTTCTCAACCTGTGGGTCTCCAGATGTTTTGGCCTTCAACTCCCAGAAATCCTAACAATTGGTAATCTGGCTGTGATTTCTGGGAGTTGTAGGCCAAAATACCTGGGGACCCACAGATTGAGAACCACTGCTTTAGATGATTTCATCCTCCAGAAGTCTTAGGTGACATTATCAATGCGGAAGAATTCTGAGAGTTGAATTCCAAAACTTCCTGAGGACTAAAGTTTGCCATATTAGATCATCATCATAGCATAGGGATTGATAGACTAGATGGATAAATGAGATTGAGAGAAGGAGGTAGAAGGAGATGTTTCTCAATTTTAGAGCTTGGGCATCCAATGAGACAATGGCTAGAAGTTCTTCCTAAGTAACGTAGACCCCATCAGTACATGGACTCCATCTTGGGACTGACTGACCGTTCAACAATTGCTCCAATGGACTTACTCTAGTTGAGGGTCACCAATATATTTCAGACCAACAAGGCCAAGAGTATGCTCTTCTTTGGGCAACAGACACCAGTACAGTTACAAGATTTGTTATGACAAGATTTAGTGACTGCCATATGCTTTTAGAGAGGATTAGATTAATCCTCATGGGAGGTGGCTCTATCAATCACTGAGAATAATGCAGTAGTTAAATGAAGATGTCTGCACCAGATGTTAACGCCAAATAACAAAGGTGGGACATCCATTTCAAGCCCTAGTCATGACTTCTTTGAGGGATCAGACCAGACACCAATGAACACAAAATAGTCAACAAGAACAGAAGTGAGCAGAACATATCTTGAGGTCTTTCAGCAGATATGTGGCCAGTTTGCATGAAATTAACAAGACTTACACATACCAACAGCATTTCAAATGTCTAAATTAGAGTCTGTAATAATTTGGGTGTAGATCTTTATTTGAATACTAAGGTAATCAGGTCTATGGGGTTCATTTGGCTTCACCCAAGCCATCATTTGGTCACCATCTCTGTAAGCTGGTAGACTTTAGGACAGTGGTTCTCAACATGTGGGTGCCCAGATGTTTTGGCCTTCAACTCCTAGGTCTATTACTCTATCACTCTATCTATCTATCATGACCTGAAGTTAGGCCTCTCTTAGGTCTATCACTCTATTGTCCATTTAGCTATCTATTGCAGTGGTTCTCAACCAGTGGTTCTCCAAATGTTTTGGCCTTCAACTCCTAGGTCTATCACTCTATCATCTATTTATCTATCAGGACCTGAACATAGGCCTCTCTTAGGTCTATCACTGTACCATCTATCTATCTATCTATCTATCTATCTATCTATCTATCTATCTATTGCAGTGGTTCTCAACCTGTGGCTCCTGAGATGTTTTGGCCTTCAACTCCTAGGTCTATTACTCTATCTATCTATCTATCTATCTATCTATCTATCTATCTATCTGGACCTGAAGGTAGGCCTCTCTTAGGTCTATCACTCTATCATCCATCCATCTATCTATTGCAGTAGTTCTCAGCCTGTGGGTGCCCAGATGTTTTGGCCTTCAACTCCTAGGTCTGTCTATCTATCTATCTATCTGGACCTGAAGGTAGGCCTCTCTTAAGTCTATCACTCTATCATCCATCCATCTATCTATTGCAGTGGTTCTCAACTTGTGGGTCGCCAGATGTTTTGGTCTTCAACTCCCAGAAATCCTAACAGTTAGTAAACTGGCTGGGATTTCTGGGAGTTGTAGGCCAACTACAACCTGGGGACCCACAGGTTGAGGACCACTGCTTTAGGAGCTTTCAAAAAAGCAAGGTAGGTCTGGTCATCTTGAAATCTTCACTTTCCTGGCCTACATGTAGAATTCTGACTTCATAAATTCCTGGAACGATTCCATCAACGTTGTCTCCGAAAAATCCTGCAAATCTCTTGGGTAGACAAGGTGACATATGCCAGCATGCTGGAAGAAACAAAGACCACCAGCACTGAAGTGATGGTCCTCTGCCATCAACTTCGCTGGACCGGCCACATTGTCCGTATGCCCGACCACCGTCTCCCAAAGCAGTTGCTCTACTCCG